AACATTTCGTTTCGTCTCGTTTTGGTCAACGAAAATGAAGAGACATTTTAGCATAGTTTTTATTTTGTAAACCACATTTAGTCTCGTTTTTATTCGTCAACAATATTGCATTATACATTTAATTATAGTCATCGTCACATGACCAGCATTTACGTTGCGTCTCGTCTCGTTTTCGTCACGTGATAAAGATTGGTTGACGACGATATTTAGTCATAATTTTCGTTGACGAAAGCAACACTAGGAGTCTCCATAGACTCTTGAAGCTCTGCCCTCTTCTGAAAAGGGGTCTGGGAGCACCAGCTCATTTGCATTTACAGGGGCATAATGGGTCACCTTTAAGATGAGTATTAGTAATAAAACCACAACATAACTGAAATTTACATTTTTATGAAAATTATAGTTAAAGTTAGGCCCATATATATTTGGACACTGACACAATTTTCATAATTTTGGCTCTGTATGCCACCAGAATAGAATTAAAATGAAACAATGAAGATGAAATTAAAGCGCAGACTTTAAGCTTAAATTCAAGGGGTTGAACAAAATACAACATAAAATGCTTAGGAAATAGAACCAATTTTATGCAGAGTCCCCCCATTTTCAATGTAATTGGACAAATAAATATAATCATAAATAAAATTATAATTTTTAATATTCTGTTGAGAAACCTTTGCATGCAATGGCTGCCTTAAGTCTGGAACTCACCAAAGACTGGGTTTTGAATAGCCCATATCTGTCCATGAAATGGCTTTTGAGTCAATTGTCCAATTACTTATGATCCCTTGAAAAAGGGGGGAGGTACATATTAAAGAGTTGTAATTCCTTAATCTTTCCTCTAATTTTGATGAGAATACCCTCAAATTAAAGCTCACAGTGTGCACTTTAAGCCCATATTCATTATATAACTGTAACTTGAACATGTTTTGGTCAACAGCTAAAATAACAAAAAATGTGCCTTTGTCCAAATATATATATGGACCTAACTGTATATCACATTTCATTTTGGGAAATGGATTTTGGTCCTTCTGTGGAAGAAAGAAGATGTTTGATGTGTGCGCTCACCAGGTGTGTGCAGTGGGCAGCGTGCTGTGTGTGGGAGCTGCTATAATCTGGAAGGAGGGGCAAAGCGTATTGAAACCGCCAGGTGGGAGCTGCGAGGAGCCAGTGGTGAACTGCAACAAACGGGCCAATTCTTCCTGTGTGAAGGATGACACCACCGCCCAGAACCATTTCATTACCTAAACAACAGAACAATCGGGATGAGCTCACTTTAACACTTTCATCCCCTGCTGTGATCTCTCAGCATATTATTGTGTCGTCAAACAAATTCCAATATCAAGTCATCATATACAAAAATCATAGATATGTACAATAATTAACACTGGATATCATGTTAATGTGAATACAGTGTTGAAAAAGTGTTTGCCTCTGGCTGATTTTCACATTGTCATTATACAGTATATTCAAGCAGAACCAAGGCATAAAAGTGACCAGTCACAAACAAAAATACAACCAGATGTGTATATATATTAAGGCTGGTAATTTAACACGTTAATTAGATTAATTAATTACGCTGAAAAATAACGCGTTAAAATTATTATATAGGTGTATATATATAAACACATACACACAGTATCTCACAAAAGTGAGTAAACCCCTCACATTTTTGTAAATATTTTATATATTATACAAAATATTTTGTAATCTTTTCATGTGACAACACTGAAGAAATTACGCTTTGCTACAATGTAAAGTAGTGAGTGTACAGCTTGTATAACAGTGTAAATTTGCTGTCCCCTCAAAATAACTCAACACACAGCCATTAAGGTCTAAACTGCTGGCCACAAAAGTGAGTACACCCCTAAGTGAAAATGTCCAAATTGGGCCCAATTAGCCATTTTCTCTCCCCGGTGTCATGTGACTCATTAGTGTTACAAGGTCTCAGGTGTGAATGGGGAGCAGGTGTGTTAAATTTGGTGTTATCGCTCTCACTCTCTCATACTGGTCACCTCATGGCAAAGAACTCTCTGAGGATCTGAAAAAAAGAATTGTTGCTCTACATAAAGATGGCGTAGGCTATAAGAAGATTGCCAAGACCCTGAAACTGAGCTGCAGCATGGTGGCCAAGACCATACAGCGGTTTAACAGGACAGGTTCCACTCAGAACAGGCCTCGCCATGGTCGACCAAAGAAGTTGAGTGCACGTGCTCAGCGTCATATCCAGAGGTTGTGTTTGGGAAATAGACGTATGAGTGCTGCCAGCATTGCTGCAGAGGTTGAAGGGGTGGGGGGTCAGCCTGTCAGTGCTCAGACCATAGCTCAAAATTAATAAGATTACCATTTTGTTTATGTGTCGTTGGCCACGAAGTAATATGAACAGAATCGTTAATATACACGGACGTTAACGTCTCGCGGGACGAGTAGTTGATAAAGTGTAAACTATCAAATTTGAAATCAGTTCTAATCAGGTTGACTTCGTATTTTCAGATTCGAGTCCTCTCAAAACCTGAATTAATTAATAATAATTAATTCCCTAAGAAAAGTAATCTGATATTACATATGTTTATGTAGCACTTTGAGCATAAAACAAGAGGCGGACATGCAAGAGCAGCTCAACAACTGTATTGACACAGACACAGCCAGAAGCAAACAGCCAAAAGCAATCGACTGCTGATCCCATGATTTATTACATCAGGGATGGGCAACTTTGATAGTGACGAGGGCCAGCATTTTTTCTCCTTTATACCAAGAGGCCAGATTACTAATCCACGTCCACACACCTTTTACACCGTTTTACTCAATTTCCTTTTTAGTGAAGGAAATTAAAGTATAAAGTATAACTAATGTAATTTGTTTTTAAAGATTTTATTAACTATAAAACTTGTGCACTTGTAGCACTTGTGCCAATTCAGAAGGAAAACTTTGCTGTCAGTGGACAGAAATATTACCCCAACAAGCCAATGTAAACACCTCAATTGCATTGTCTGTAAATTTGCAACAAACAAATGTACAGAGGTCCTTTTTTATTAGTGGCCTACAGAACATTCTCAAAACAACCTAAAAGGACAGTTAAAAAGGGCTTTTTCAAAAAAATAATTATTCCAAATGGTACCATAAAATAACCTGGTATCTGCAGGATTTTTAAAATCAAAT